TGAAATAGAAGACTTCCAAACATTGCTGATAAAAAGGCCAGAACTGAGTAGAAAGTTTTACATACAAAGAGTCAAGGGAGGCATAAAAAAGTAAACATGAATGAAAAATTAGAAGAGACTGAACAAGGCAAAATTGTACATTCTTATATGGGGACATGACACATGTAGCCCTTCAACACACTATCATCCTTAAGAGTAATAGAAGGTATCTAATTAGATAGAAGGTCTGGGCAGGATTCTGTTATGTTTGGATGATCTCTAAAAAAAAAAAGAATGGAAAGAATGGGGAAAAAGAAAACACTGAGATGGTGGAAAGTAAAGGAAGAATGGGGAAAATTATCTATCATAAATGGAGTATATAAGTAGAAATCTGTATTACAAAGAGGGGACAATGAGATGGGTAAAAGGTAACACTAGAATCTACATCTCATCTGAACTAGTTAAAGGAGAGAAATACGCACACACACACACACACACACACACACACACACATATGCACCTTGGGTAGAAATACATCTTACTCCACAGGGAAATAGGAGGGAAAAAGGTTAAGAGAAAGAAGGTGAATAAGGCAGACCAAGGAAGGTATTAGGCAGAATCAAAACAAACTTTTAAGCAGAGTGTGGGGGGAAAAAAGAGGAAGAAGTATAATCAAATAAAATGTAGGAAAATATACAATTAGTCATTATAACTATAAGTATTAATGGTATGAACTTACCTATAAAATTGAAAAGGATTACTGGAATGGATTAGAAACCAGAATCCAACAATACATTGTTTAAAAGAAATACACTTGAAACAAAAAAGATATACAAAGAATAAACTAAGGGGGTGGAGCAAAATCTACTATACTTCAGCTAAAAAAAATTTAGATATGATAAAACCTCTGGAGAACACTGAATAGGAATAGAACAAAATACACATATTTGTCAGCTGTTCATGGAAACTTCACAAAAATTACTCATGGATTAGGGTATAAAAACTTCATAAACAAATGCCCCAAAAAAAGAGAATACTAAATGCATTTTTTACCAACCATATTCTAATAAGGATATATTCAATAAAAGGCCTTTGAAGCAAAGAATAAAAATTAATGGAAACTAAATAACTTAATCTTAAAGAAGGGGAACATCAAAGAACAAGTCATAGAAACAATCAATAATTTTATTAAAGATAATGACAAAAATGAGACAACATACCAAAATTTGTGTGAGGCAGCCAAGTCACTACTTATAGAAATTGTTATATCTCTAAATGCATTCATCAGAAAAGAGATAGAGGAAACCAATGAACTTAGCATGCAATCAAAAATAGAAAACTAACAGATTATAAGCCCCCAATTAAATATTAAAATAGAAATTCTGAAAATCAAATGACAGATGAACAAAATTGAAAGCAAAATAAAAACTGAATAAGTAATACTGGGAGTTGTTTAGGGGTGGGCAGTGGAATTAAAAAAATACTCCATTAACTAATTTTAGTTTTAAAAAGAAAGAAAACATATTGACAGCATCTAAAACGAAAAACAAAAATGAATTCCCAACCAATGAAAAGAAGAAATAAAATCAATTATTAGGAGCTATTTTGGTCAACAATATTCCAATAAAACTAACATTCTAAATGAAATGAATGAATATTTACAAAAAATACAAATTGCCCAGATTAATAGAATAGAAAATAGAGTACTTAAATAACCCTATCTTAGAAAAAAGAAATTGGACAAGTCATAAATGATCTCCTGAAGGAAAAAAACAACAACTGAGAACCAGATAAATTTATAAGTGAATTCTGCCAAACATTTAAAGAACAATTAATTTCAAAACTACATAAACAGTTTGAAAAAATTGTTACAATGTGTTTTACCAAATTCCTTCTATGACACAAATATGGTCTTGATATTTTAGCCAGGGAGAGTCAACACAGAGAAAATAAGCCATATACCAGTATTTCCAATTAATATTGATCCAAAAAAATTTAATCAAATATTAGCAAGCAATATGTCACAAAGATCATACACTATAACTTGGCTGGATTTATAGTAAGAATGCAAAGCTGGTTCAGTATTAGAAAAACTACAAACGTAATTGACCATATTAATAACAAAGCCAACAAAAATTATATAATTTTATCAATAGATGCAGAAAAGACTTTTTGACAAGATACAACACCCATTCCTCTTTTAAAATAAAACAGAACACTAGAAAGCATAAACTTTTCTTCAAATGATAAATAATATTTATCTAAAACCAAAAGCTATTATTATCTGTTATGGGAATAATATAGAAGCCAAGCATGTGTACACATATGCATGTATATATGAATATATGTCTATATGTGTGTGGGTGTTTATGTGCATATATGTTTGTATGTGTGTATTCATACACATACATACATACATACACAGAGAGCTGTCCTAGAGGAAAATATAATTTTGTTTTTAACCAAAGCTATATTTTTTTTGTTTTTACTAAAACTATATTTTCTACCAGCTTAACTTTCCCATAAAAAAAGCAGCATTCTTTGGCAGCCTATATGGCAAACTTACCTGACCAGCAGCAAGTGAGAAAAGACCAATAGGAAATTTCATTGGAATAAGTGCAATCCCTTTCTTTTTCCAATAATTCTTCTTGTTGAAATCTTCTACCATTGTTTTCCTTGCATAGTACGAGGACATCTCCATGCATTCATTCCAACATTTCATTAGGTTGTGTGCATTAATCTCCTGTTTGTAGTGTGTTTCATCCATTTCTTTGTACATATTTATAATTCTCACCTTAAAAAGAAATTTTAAAACATGCTACAAACTATAGTCTCTCTCCTACTCCTCTCTATCTCTCTCAATCCTACTCATGCTTTAAGGCCCGACTCAAATCTTATATCTTCCATGAGCCCTTCCTATATTGCTCTAGCCAACGGTATTTTTCTGACTATCAAAAGCGTCTTCCACTGAAAACCTATTTAGGATCCTAAGTTCATAGGACCATAGACAGAGAGTTGAAAGGGGTCTCCAAAACCATTTAGTCCAACCTGTTCATTTTACAAGTAAGGAAATTAATTCAAAAGAAGTTAAATGACTCACATAATGTCACACAAAGCTGCAGATTAGGACAAGGTATCTAAACTTCAGAAAGCAATAAACATCAAAGGTAAGTTATGAACCCTACAGCTTTGCCTGACTGATTCTATTATACATAGACCAGGAACTAATCTAACACGAAACCTAGGCAGGATTGAGCTGATTCTGAGGACTTCATCTGGCAGAAGTAGGTTGTCAGATAGAGAAAATCAAAAACAATGAAGAGGCAGATCTAGTTCCTTGTGCCTAAAGGACCTTAACTGATAAGACCTCTCAACTTGTGCTTTCCCCTTTTGGTGTTATTCCATCCTTTCCCTGGCAACTTATAACTAACTCATTGAACACTTAAAAGAAAGCTTAAATACTATTGTCTCAAAGCAGAAAAGGGGAAAACTTGCGTCCCCCTCCTGCAGGCTAAACTGAATGATGGAGAACCTGACTGATAATGAGGAGGTGACTTTGACCAGTAACCAAAAGGGGTCATTAGCCATGGAAGAAAAGGATGTGGTCACAACGGATGTAGTAGACTCATGCCTATAAGTAAGGACTTTTCCCTTTCTGGGCCTTATTTTCCTCATCTATAAAATGGGATAATTGGGCTATATAATCTATGGAATTTTTTTTCTGTGCCGATATTCTGTGTGTTTTCTATTAAATGATAATTTAGTTACCTTCTCTGGTGGCAAACCACTTTGGGCTGCAACTTTTGTTATGCATGCTTCTGTAATCAGTGCTGCTTGGGGAAAGCCAAATCCACGGAAAGCAGTATTAGAAGGAAGATTAGTTTTGCAAGCAAGGCCTCGACAACGTAAGTTTGGGATCTTGTAAGCATTGTCCAACTTTAGGAGACCATTCTCTGTCACCTGTAGGAATCAATCAGACAATCAATCAACAAGCATTTTTAAGTACCTACTTAAAAAAATGCCTACCCGTCAAATGCCCATGTGTCAAGCACTGTGGTAGGTACTGGAATAAAAGAAATCACTGATGTGATTGTAAATACTTGCCCTTCCTACTCCCTGTTTCTGTTCTTCCATACTTGAGACTGAAAGTGTTATTATCCCCATTTTTACAGATCTGGAAATAGATTTAGAGTGAAGTGACCTGATCTAGATCTAAATTTAGCTTGTAGTGAAGCAAAGGTGGGAACCCTATCTAGGTCTTCTGATTCATATTCAGTGGTCTTTCACTACCTCATACTGTTTCTCCACCAACAGCTCCTTACATAAAGAATATGCGTTTCTATTACCATGTAGCTTGGAGTAAGCCTGGTGTAGTGGATGGAAAGCTAGTCTCCAGTCCTGGAAGACCAACATCAAGGACCTACCTGTAATACTTACTGACTGCCCTACCCTAGGCAAATCGCTTAACCTCTCAGTGCTCTAGGCATTTCTCTTGTAAGATTACAATTTGCAAAGAAGGTGACAACTGCTTTAGTTAAGGAAGTTGCCTCATCTGAAAGTTTCTTATATCAATGATATCAGAAGCCTATTATAGCACTAGAAGCAATAGTCTCCTTATGCTTATTAGATAAACAAAATTTATAATTCATTTTTGTAATTCCATATTTTAAATACTTGAATGTATGTTTATCCATTAATACTTACAAATAGAGATTCATCCAGTGTGAAGCCACCATTAGCATAATGCACAACATCCAGGGCCATGATTCTACCATCATTCATGAATCCTACCTAAAGAATAGAACTGCATCTTTAGAGACCAAAAGAAGAAAATATTTCCTTTAAATATTAATTACCTACTTATATTAATTAGGCAAAGCAGGTTATTCTTCTCTTGTATGGATATAGAGTCTACTTACATTTACCCTTGAAAGTAGAACATTCTTGGTTTTTTCCCCTGTTGTCACCTGACCTCGAACAATAATTTATGGCAATGGACAATAGTACAGAAGGATATGAAACAAAATGTAAATACCCGTGCATAACGTATCATGTAGCTGTGGAAATTACAAGTCTGGAAGATATCCCTCTACCTGTGGCCTAAATCCCATCCCCTCTTGAAAGCTTGTTTCCATCTTTAACTCTTTTCACTTTAGTATCTTCATTTTCTCATTTTCCTCTGATTCTTTCTACCTCCAAACATATCCTTCCCTACCCATCTTAAAAGCCCTTTGGTTAACCCCAATCCTTTTTTTTCCCTTTCTTTCACTGCCAGATTTCTTCAACAAATGATCTATCACTTACTCTTTTTGTATCCACCTACAATCTGGCCTCTGTCCAAACTATACTACTGAAACTCTCCTCTCAAAAGGCACCAGTGTGACCTTGGAACCTATTAATCTAATGGCTTTTTCCTCAATCCTATGAAGTTTGGATTCAGTCAAAGGGCTGCACTTGAGGACCTAGAGGGCCACATGTGGCCTTGAGGTCATAGGTTCCCCACCCCTGTGCTAGACATTCTTTGTAGTACCTGACACAGTTGAATCTTCCTGAATTCTCTTCTCTCTTGCTTTCCAAAATACTACAACATACTATTTCTCTACTTCGACCATTCCTCTTATTCGCTTTCACTTACTGCTCTTCTTTATCCCACTTCCTAAATGTTTATGTCCCCAAAGGCTTATTAACCTCTGATTTTCTTTGACTCTTTTTCAGAGCCCTCTTCTCATAATTTTAGCTATCACCTCTGTACTCATAACTTTAAAATCTACATATCCAGCCATAATCTAGACATTCAAATATATTCCTACTGCCTTCTGCATATTTCCACGTGGGCCAGCCACTAAGTATTTCTCCAACCAAACTCATTATTTTCTCCCTAAATTGATTCCTCTTTACAATCTGCCCCCTTTTGGTTAATGACACCATCATTCTCTTAATCACCTATGCTTAAAAACACGTTCTACTTCTCTCCCTCCTCCATTTGTTCCCTCTCTTCCATCCAATCCATCACCAGGTCTTTTTTATTTTTTCTTCATAATATCTCTTAAATTTGCCCGTTTCTTTCCATTTCCAGTACCATCATCCCAGCCTAGATCTCTACCATATGCCTAAATTACTGCAATAACTTTCTAATAGCCTCCCTAACTCCAGACTCTCATTTCATCTCAGAGTCACCCTGTAATATCATCCTATAATATTAATCATATTAAAACTGCTAAAGGAATATTTTTATCATGCTATTCTGCTGCTCAAGAATTCACAATTTCTCCCCAGGATCTACCCACCAAGTATTCTAAACCTGGGCAAATTTGTTTTTCTTTTTTAATATATATTTTGATAAATATATTTCAGTGTAATTGGTTTCCTTTGTAATCCTATGTATTTTATTTTATGCAGTTAAAAATTTTATTCTGAAAAAGCCTCCACTGGTTTCACCAGACTATCAAAGAGGTCAATGACACAAAAAAAATGACACAATGACACACATACACACACAAAAATGACACAATGACACAAAAAGGAAAGACCCTCTAGCTAAGTTCAAACTCCTTGTGCTGGTTTGTATCCAAAACTCTACAATCTTGGACTCGCCTCACCCATATCCAACCTTACCTGATCACAGCTACTCCACAAGTATCCACTGCTTTAGTCAAGCTAGTTTCATAATTTCCCCCAATATTCATGTCATGCTCATTCCTGCTGCTGCACCTTTGCTTCCCCATGCTCATAACCTTCAGACCATTCTGACTTTCTTCTCCTACTCACTTTGTACTTTCCAAGGTAAGGATGACGGCCTCCAGATATTAATATATCTTCTCCACGTTCCAGAATGCAGCGGACTGGACAGCCAGTTCTAAAATCAGAAAAAGGTCAATTTATACCAACTAAGGATATGACATAAGAAAAAAATTAATGTTTTGGATTTATTCAAATCATTTCCTTTCAGTTCATTTCCAATGTTCCACTCCACCCTAATCTATCATTGCTCTAGTTTGTACAAGGGCCCCTCTACTCCCTTGATCAAGCTTATGGTTTCCACTGTACCAGCCTACGCTTTAGGAGGTTTCCCATTCTCTCAGGGACATCTCTAGATACCTTTCCATATAAGAAAAAGGGTCTTAAGATATTTCTTCAGGGCTTTTATCACATATCTTTCATATTATGCCTACCATAATGCTAGACTCAAAGCAGGCATTCAGAAAATGTTTGTTGCAGTTAATTAAATCTATGAAACTGAAACTTTCCAAGTCAAGCCAAATATCCAAGGTGTTTCATTTTATACTAAAACAGCTGGGAATGCTCCAAGAGATGGCTTCTGATAGAGAAAGTGGAACAGAGAGATTGTCATCTCTTTGCTCTAGGCTACTTTAGGGTTAAGATTTTAGAGTCTAGAACCATCAGTGCAAAGTGCAAAGAAAACTGGATTTAAGTAAAATGACAGGAATTTGAATCACAGCTTTACCTATTACTATCTGAGTAACTTTGAAAAAAAGTTATTTGATGTCTCTGAGCCTCTGTTTCCTCAGTCATAAAATGAGTGGGCAAATTGCATTAATCTGTTATGGCACATATAGCTTTAAAATTCTATGTTCCAGCCCATAAATTAACTCCCAAAGGGAAAAAAAATGGAACCAGGTAGATTTATAAGCCAATTCTATCAAATATTCAAAGAATGATTCATTCCAATCATACATAAACTAATTTCAAAAATAGAAAAAGATGAAATCCTACCAAATTTCTTCTATTATACATACTCTTGGTACTTAAACCAGAGTGAGTCAAAACAGTGGAAGAAAACTATACACCAATATCTTTAATGAACACTGAAGTAAAAACAACAAATAAAACACTAGCTGAAAGACTACAACAGCATATTACAGAGATTATACATTATGACTAGGTTGGATTTATACTAGAAATGCAAGTTTGCTTAACTATTAGGAAAATTACAAGCATAGTAATATCAGGATCAACAAAAATCATGTGATTATATCAAGAGATGCAGAAAAAAAATTGACAAAAATTTGACCCAAAGTCTCAGTGCAAGTTTAAGTTTTAATAATTTAAATCAACACTCATTTCTATTAAAAATAAACAAATACAATTCCAGGGGTGGAGCTGAGATGGCGGAGTAAAAGCAGTGACTTGCTTGAGCTCTCCCCTAAACCCCTGCAAATACCTGTTTAAAAAAATGGCTCTAAACAAATTCTAAAGCAGCAGAACTCACAAAAAAACAGAGCAAAACAAATTTCCAGCCCAAGACAACCTGGATGGTTAATCAGAAAGGTATATCCCACCAGGCTGGGAGAGGAGCGCAGTTTGGCAAGGGCAAGCAGGCCACAGCGAACCTGGAGCAGGCCTCAAAGGACTGAATCGCAGGCAGCTGTGGCGGTTTCCAGACTTCTCAACCCACGAATGCCAAAGACAACTTAGAAGGTCAGTGGGAAAAGTCTGTGTCTGTGGTGAGAGAGAGAAGCCAGTGGTCTCAGCTCCAGTCCCTAAGCTCAGCTGGGGCATCGATAGCCTCCTGAGCTTCCAGCCCACAGACTGAGGGGGAATCAAGTGGCCGATCAGAGGGGGATTGCAGGGATCTTTCTACTGGTGCAGGATTCTCTTGCTTTGCCCGTGCTTGGATCTGGGTCACAGTTCTGGGTGGCGGTCCTGGGGCAAGGAGGAGCGCTGGCGTGGTGGAGCTTGTAGTGGCTATGGAGAGGAAAACCTCCTCACAGTTCTAAGACAGAAAAGAGTGCTCATAGACCAGAGCACAGGCCAGGAAAAGAGTAAACTCCTTGCCCTTGATCATAGCACCTTGGAAGAACTGAAAATTTACAGGTCCCTAGAAGTATCTCTGAATACAGCTGCACAAAACCCCTGAAGCTTGGGACAGTACATTCTCCACACTGGAAATAGACTCCTACCTTAACAAAGAGTTTATAATTCAAGTAATTGGCTGGGATCATGAGAGAGCAGTGTAAAAAGAGTCAGACTATATCACCTTACTTTGGTGACAAAGAAGATCAAAACATACAACCAGAAGAAGACAACGAAGCCAAAGCTCCTACATCCAAAAAGCTACCAAGAAAAATATGAATTGGTCCCAGGCCATGGAAGAGCTCAGAAAAGGATTTTGAGAAGCAAGTAAGAGAAGTAGAGCAAAAACTGAGAGTGATGCTAAAGGAGACCCAAAAAAATACTGAAGAAAATAACACCTTTAAAAATAGCCTAACCCAAATGGCAAAAGAGGTCCAAAAAGCCAATGAGGAGAAGAATGTCCTTAAAAGCAAAATTAGCCAAATGGGTAAAAATTAGAATGGAGAAATTGGAAGATAGGGACAATTTGAGAAATCAAGGCACTGTAACACTAATTAAAAGGAATGAAAAAATAGAAGACAATGTGAAATATCTCATTGGAAAAACAATTGACCTGGAAAATAGAGCCAGGAGAGAGAACTTAAAAATTAGTGGACTATCTGAAAGCCATGATCAAAAAAAGAGCGTAGGCATCATCTTTCAAGAAATTATCAAGGAAAACTGCCCTGATATTTTAGAATGAGAGAGCAAAACAGAAACTGAAAGAATCCACCGATCACCTCCTGAAAGAGATGCCCAAAGGAAAACTCCTAGGAATGTTGTAGCCAAATTTCAGAATTCCCAGGTAAAGGAGAAGATATTGCAAGCAGCCAGAAGGAAACAATTCAAGCATTGTGGAGACACAATCAGGATAACATAAGATTTAGCAGCTTCTACATTAAAGGTCCGTAGGGCATGGAGTATGATATTCCAGAGGGCAAAGGAACTAGGACTACAACCTAGAATCACCTACCCAGCCAAACTAAGTATAATCCTTCAGGGTAAAAAATGGTCATTCAATGAAATAGAGGACTTTCAAGCATTCCTGTGGAAAAGACCAGAGCTGAATAGAAAATTTGACCTTCAAATACAAGTCTCAAGTGGAACATGGAAGAGGTAAACAGGAAAGAGAAATCATAAGAGACTTATTAAGGTTGAACTTTTTACATTCCTGCAGGGAAAGATGATATTTGCAACTCATGAGTCCTTTGTCAGTATTAGGGTAGTGGGAGGGAAAAATTATATGTTTGTATAGATAGATAGATAGAGGACACAGGGTGAGTTGAAGATGAAGGGATATCTGGAAAATAAAATTAAGGGGTGGGAGAAGATTATACTGGGAGAAGGAGAAAGGGAGAAGTAGAATGAGGTAAAATACCTCACACGAAACGACAAGAAAAGACTTTCACAGTGGAAGGGAAATGGGGGAAGGTGAGAGGGAATGAATAAATCTTATTCTCATAGGATTTGGCTTAAGGAGGGAATAACATACACAATGGGGTATGGAAATCTATCTTACTCTACAGGAAAATAAGGGGGGAAGGGGACAAGAGAGCAGGGGGTTGATAGAGGGGAGAGCAGATTGAGGGAGGGGATAATCAAAAGCAAACACTTCTGAGGAGGGACAGGGTCAAAAGAGAGAATAGAATAAATGGGGGATAGGACAGAATGAAGGGAAATATACTTAGCTTTTCACACAGGACTACTATGGAAGTGTTTTGCATGACTACACATCTATAACCTGTATAGAGATGCTTGCCTTTTCAATGAGGGTGGGTGGGGAGGGAGGAAGGGAGAAAATTTGTAACCCAAAGTTTTAAAAACACATGTTAAAAATTTTTTAAAAATTTAAAAAATATAAACAAATAAACTAGAAAATACAGGAATATATGGACTTTATCTTAACATGTGAAATAAAATCTATCTAAAAGAAAATGCCAACATAATATGTAAAGGGGACAAACTTGAGTCTTTTCCAGTAAGATTAGGGATAAAGTAAAGATGCCCATTGTCACCACTAATATTTGATATAGTGCTAGAAATACTAGCTAGAGCAATAAGATGAGAAAATAGAAATTGAAGGAATAAGTAGCATCAGAGAAGAAATAAAAGTATTACTTTTGCAGATGGTATAAGAGTGTACTTAGGAGAAACTTAAGTAACTGACTAAAATTACTTGTAATTACTGGTAATCTACTATTTGATAAACTCAAAGACCCTAGCTTCTGGGATAAGAACTCACTATTTGGCAAAAACTGCTAGGAAAACTGGAAAAAAGTATGGCAGAAACTAGGCATAGACCAAAATCTTATACCATATACCAAAATAAAGTCAAAATGGGTACACAATTTAGATATAAAGATTAATACTATAAGCAAACTAGGAGAGCAAGGGATATTTTAACCTGTCAGATTTATGGAGAACAGAAGAATTTATGACCAAATAAGAGATAGAGAACATTATGAAATGCAAAATGGATAATTTTGATTACATTAAATTGAAAACTTTTTGCACAAAGCTAATGCAACCAAGATTAGGAGGGAAGCAGAAAACTGGGAAAGAATTTTTACAACCAGTGTCTCTGATAAGGGCCTCATTTCTAAAATATATAGAGAACTAAATCAAATTTATAAGAATACAAGTCATTCCCCAATTGATAAATGGTCAAAAGATATGAACAGGCAGTTTTCAGATGAAGAAATTAAAGCTATCTATAGTCATGTGAAAAAATGCTCTAAATCACTATTGATTAGAGAAATGCAAATCAAAATGACTCTGAAGTACCACATCACACCTACAAGATTGGCTAACATGAGAAAACAGGAAAATGATAAATGTTGGAGAAGATGCGGGAAAATTGGAACATTAATGCATTGTTGGTGGAGTTGTGAATTGATCCAACCATTTTGGAGAGCAATTTGGAACTAT